ACGCCGAGAACACCCTGGCGAGCCCAATGTAGTCCGGAATGGCCGTATCCTAGGTGGATTGGAGCCCTCTCGCGCCTTTGGGGATGCCTATTACAAATGGTCGCTCGAGACGAACGCCGAACTGAAGAAGTCCTATTTTGCCCGAACGCCATCAGCGCTACTCAAGACTCCACCTTATGTTACTGCCGAACCCATCATCACTACCACCAAGATTGAGCCTGAAAAGGGTGACTTTGTCGTCATGGCTACAGATGGATTATGGGAAATGCTTACTAATGAAGAAGTTGTTGGTTTAGTTGGTCAGTGGCTCGATGCGCAGAGCAACTCAGGGGGTCAAGGTTCTCAGACTCAATCATGGCTAAAGAGCTGGTGGTCTAGCCAGAAGCAGCTGCCAGTCGAACAAAAAGCAGGAGACACGGCAGAAGGCCAACGTGCGCCTATCCGCCAACAACAGTGGGGCACCAAGACCAGCTTGAACGAGCGCTTCGTAGTCGAGGACAAGAATGCCGCAACCCATCTTGTGCGAAATGCACTTGGAGGAAAGGACCAAGATCAGCTGAGCGCTTTGCTCACACTTCCAAGCCCCTTCTCTCGACGATACAGGGACGACCTGACGGTAGAAGTCATCTTCTTTGGCGAGGGCACCGGCACGGGTAACGTGACTCGGAATCAAGAGGCTAGCGCAGCAGAGCCTGAGGCTCAAGCCAAGCTGTAGGACATATTGGTTTCCGTCTTGTGGTTTTTTGGGGTGGAAATGCGCTCAGTCATATTTCGACTGTTGGCAGCTTAGCATGTATCGTGGCGTTGACAGGCTCTGGATGGATACGGCGTTTGACGGGAATGTGACACCCACGGTGGAATTAGTGTTTGAATCAGACCATAGCATACACAGGTTTAGCATCTGGGGCTGAAGCCAATCGATTATGTTCTGAACCATGTACCCCACTTCGTAAAGAGCATGACAGCGGGTTCCGTATTCTCGGGCGGGCAGGCTCGGTGATGGCGTGGTTTGGTTCCGTCAAGTCCGCATGATGTCATGGTTGCAAACTAGAAGCATCTTGAACTTTTCAACCATTATACAACTACTACGTGCAAATTTGGTCATTGTCCTACGACATATATGTATATGACAGCTGTCGTCTGAGTATCACCAAGATCTCTCGATCAGTCAATCAACCACAAAGAAAAGGTGCATCCATAATCACACACACACACGCACAGACAAACACCATGGCCGAATCACTAGCAGCATTCCGCAACCGCCAGTCCAGAGACTTGCAGAGATTGGCCGAGGAGCACTTGCAGCATGAGTAAGTCAAGAAGACTGTTTGGTTTCCCGGAGAAGAGGGTCAGACTAATTCGGGCCAGCCTCCAACAGCAAGATCGCGATATACTTAAAAGTGCAGCCGGCAAGGTAACAAGAAACACAACCATCGGATCAGCACTAGGCCTTGGTCTTGGCGTCTACACGGCATTCCGTCTACGGTCAATGCGGCTTGCTTACTTCAAAGCGTTCCGGGCCATGGAGAAGCCTGTAGAAGTGCGTTTTGCTGACGGGCGCACCGAGAAGATTCCCGACATCACGGCCCAAGTCAGCGGCCCGTCGCGCTGGGGCGATGCGGCGGCTTACTTCTTCTTCTCGGTCGGCGGCTTGTTTCTTGGGGGTGAGCTAGGGCTGCTAACAGGAACGGCGAGCGCATCAAGGGCTATTACGAAGAAGCCAGAGAGTAGGGCGAGGATCGAAAAGGCATTCAAGAATTACCGCATCGATGTGCTACAGAGGGAAATTGAGGCGCTGCGAGGCAAGAGTAGGTTTGAGGAGTTCTTCCGCAGCGGAGGGGCTAGCGCGTGAGCATAAATAAACGAGGAGGCCTTATGAATAGCGAATTGAATTGTATTGATGTGTGTGTTACGCGTTCAGATGCCCTGTTGAGGATTGCATGTGGAGATGTTGACCGCAACCCAGCCACGCTAGCCACATTACCCCGAATGGGACACAGCCACAGCCACATGTCATGACATGCATTGGTAGTCTTAGTAACCATTCGACGTGGCCAGTCGTAGCAAGTGAGGGAAACATGCAAATCAACATAGTCGAGCTTTATTGTATTCTTATAATAATGTACGTATCAAAGTTCAATAGGCCATGCTCTCACAAGCTAGCCCTACCTAGACGCTCTGGTCAAGGCCCAGCGTTTCAGGCGCAGCCTATACATGACGTGTCGTAAGGAGACCCTTTGCGCGCCTACTGCAGATCGTTGAGTGCAAAAAGGCCCGCCAGGTCTCGAATTGCATGACGACGTCACGCCCAGCTTCTTGCCGATGGCCCGTTCGCGCGCTTGGAAAACAATCGCTGCAGCCCATCGCCTCATCTGCCCCCGGGCCCCCCCTTCCCTTGCGTTGCTTGGATTCCTCGCCCAGTGTTTATCATATCTTGGTAATCCATTCGTTGTTGAGCCTGAATCTCTTTTTTTTCTTTGCCCCGGGCTGCGTGGAACCCTAATATAGACGACCAGGCCCTTCACCCTGAAAACCGCTGAAACGGTGCCGTACACCCGCCTGATTCATTCGCCAATTCCTCCTTCTTCGTCCTTTTCTCTACACAACTGGACCGTTACCGATACCACCTTTACTGAGCCGCCCAGTGGCTGCTTACTCTTGTTTCTCCAAGGCGTTGCCCAAATAAAGTTGGAGAGCGTCCAACCCCTGCGACGATCATGAAAGGAGCTCTTCTTTCGCTGGTCTGGCTTGCGGGTCTTGCTGCAGGCCAAAGTAGCTCATCCGTGTCGGTTATCACACTATCTGGATCCCAACGGAGTCTCACAGGTGACGATGCTGCCCCCAACCCAACTGTGCCCTCCGATTTTGAAGGCAGTACTTTTGCGACAATTACATCACCTGCCTCCTCAGCCTCATCGGGCGCCACACTGTCGTCCAACAGCACCATAACCTCCGGGGAACCTGTCACCAATATCGGACAAGGGAACAGGACCGTCACGCCGACAGGTACCGGTACGGCTCCTGCATTACCGTCTAACACACAGCCATGCAACAACTACCTCGAGTTCTGCGACCGCAAGTACTCCAACATCACCGAAGTCTGTGCACACAACTCACCCTACACGCGTAAGAACAACATTGCGCGCAACCAAGAATATTCTGTAAAGCAACAGCTTGACGATGGTATTCGTATGCTTCAGGGCTCCGCTCACTATGTCAACGGTACTCTCTACTACTGCCATTCATCGTGCGACCTGCTCAACGCCGGCACTGTCGAGGACTACCTTCGCCAAGTCACCGAATGGGTAGAGGACCACCCCTTCGACGTAGTCACCATCCTCTTCGGAAACTCAGACTGGGACAAGACAACCTCGGACGGCAAGCCCCTCGTCACCGCCAAAAACTTTGCCGAACCAATCGAAGCCTCCGGTCTCCGCAAGTACATCTACCAGCCGCCCAAGACCGCCATGGAACTCAACGACTGGCCCACGCTCGGCGAGCTCATCCTCCAAAACGACCGTGTCATCACCTTCATCGACTACAATTACGACACTGACGCCGTCCCCTATCTCCTCTGGGAATTCTACAACATGTGGGAGACCACCTTTTCCCCTACCGACCAAAACTTCCCTTGCAACCTCGGCAGACCAGAGGGAATGTCCGAGAACAAGATGAGAGACATCCTGTACATGGCGAATCATAACCTAAACGCTGAGATTTCCTTCGCTGGCTTCAATCTCCTCGTACCAAATGTAGCGCAGATTAGGCAGACGAATGGTGTAGAAGGATTCGGTAGTCTAGGTCTCATGGCTAATACTTGCACCAGTAAGTTTTCCTTCCCTTCTTGGATCTTTTCAGTCAGGATCAAGTCACTAACGTGTCTGTCTTCTTTTAGGTGATTGGGGCCGCCCACCAAACTTCCTACTCGTCGACTTCTACAACGAGGGCTCGACGAATGGCTCGGTGTTTGAAGTCGCGGCTCGTGCCAATAATGTCACGTATAACCGCGAGTGCTGCGGTACTACCTCCGCGGCAAATGTGCAGCTGCAGCCTGTGTACTTTGGTCTTGTAGCTGCTGCTTTTGCCGCTGTCCTAGCCTTGTGAGATGTTGAAAGTCTTGGAATTGTAGGGATTGCAACGCGCAAACTGTATAGTTGAGAAGAAAGAGAGAGAAAAAGCACAAGGAGACAATAGACATGTTAGGATGAAGGCATGGTATGGCGTTTTTTTTTTCACTCCTTTTTTTTTCCTTCCTTGGGCATTAGACACGTTGTAATTCTACAGCATTTTTCTGTTTATAGGAAATAACGATGGCAAGTATATATAACTTGATTAAGCACAGGAAGTGTATACCATTTCTGGTGTTCACTAATGAAAATAGTGTAACGGGATTGCTGGCTAATCTTTTTATTTTATTGTATCTTCATAGCTCTACTCTCTCTTGATCACACACACACACCTCTCTCTCCAGGGGTATATTAGACAGGTTTCCCCACCACGTCGTGTGAGCACCACAGCACTCTTAACCGACACCTCTACCCTTTTTTCCTTTTCTTAGTTTACATAACCCAACCGCTATCCCCCAAACCAGGTAGATCTAATCGATCAAAAGACGACCCCAACCGTCCGACCCGTTTCGTTACCCACGGTACATAAACCATAGAATTACCCATCAGTAAACCCCCATCCCATACCGTAAGCCCGTAAACCTACATGCCGAACCAGGAACAAGAAGCCTCCCATCACTCCCATGGTATCTCTGTAAGAAAAGGGGGAAAACAGCCCAGGTACAAAGAAAAGTACCAGAAAGGGAAAAGCAAAAAAAGGAAAACGCCACAAAAATGCAGGAACATACTATTGTTACATGGACCAAAGAAAAGAATAAGAAGAAGAGGAAAAACTTCATGGTATCGTGCATAAGACATTGAACAAAAGGAAAACAAAAACAAGGGAAAAGAGATGGAAAAAGATAGGACAAGGAAGAAGGTACGGGAAATACTTCACCTCATAGTCAAGGTACTGCTACCACCGGTAGTAGTGGGTGTATTCGTCCTTACCGGCTCAATAGCCAAACTATCATTCCTGGGCGCTAAACCCTCGGGCCAACTGCGCCGTTCACGATGCTCTATAGACGGTAACTCGTGATTATCCTTTGAAATGCTACTCTTCTTCTTCCCCTTGCTCCATCGCCTCAACTTCTCGACGTGCGACGAGCCCCGCCGCTGCTTCTCCTCGGCCTCGGATTCGCGTCTTGTTTTCTCGTCGCGCACGGGGCCCGATAGCCGGCGGGCTGCAGGAACGATGTTGAGGTAGAGCGGGTAGAGGGCGCCGGTCGAGTAGGTGGCGACGATGACACAGAAGGCGAGTTGTGGGTTTTGCGTCTTGAGGATGGCGAACATTATGGGTGGGAAGATGGCGCCGCCGCTGATGGCGGAGACAAGGAGGGCAGAGGCGTCTTTGGTGTACTTGCCCATGCCGCGGATGCCTTGGGCGAAAATCTGGGGGAAAATTGGCCCTTCGAAGAACATAACCATGGCGATGATTGCTACTCCTGTGGAGCCGGACGCGTGTATCGCTGCTGCTGTGAAAGCAATAGCTCCCAAGTAAAAGAACAGCAGGCTGTAGCGTGGCTTGACCCAGATATCAATGAATGCAGCCAGGAATCGAGAAACAGCAAAAGCGGTGTGACCATAGGCTCGTTGGGATACAGGGTCGATGGTAGGCATCACGCGACTGAGATACTCGTCGTATGAAGTAGAGGTAGACTCTTGGCCTCCAACATAGCAGAACTGTGAAAAGACCGCCATAGCTAGACTTATCCATAGGACCTTGACGGACCTGGATCCAAGCTTGACTGTAGCCTCGCGCGCATGTGGCACAGTACGCTGGCTAGCATCTTCGAGTTGATCATCTGTGGCTTCTGGAAGTGGTACGTAAAAGTAGATGACGGCAAGGGCAATGTTGAAAAACGAGATGCCGAGATACGTCCATTGCACGTCAATCAAACTCGCAGCGTTTGCGGGAAAGAGTACCTTTTTCGCCAAAATCGGAGAGATGATGCTACCGACTGCCTGGACAGCTTGTGACAAGTTCAACCGTGCTTCTGCATACTCTGGTGGCCCACAAAGAGCTATGAAGGGGTTTGCACCGAGTTCCAAGGTTGAAAGTCCGGCTCCAACAATGAAATTGGATATTAGGAATGATGGAAAAGAATTTAGCACGGCGGACGGCCAAAATACGAGAGCCCCACAAGCATAGACCGACAATCCAACCATATAGCAGGCTTTGAAACCCCATATCTTGAAAACGAGTCGTCCAAAGGTCAAAGGCCCTACAAGATAGCCAGCATAGTAGGCAGAGTGCTGGCCTACCGTTTGCCAATCGCTTGTATGGGCAACCTCTTGGAACCGAGAGTTCAAGACGTCGAGGAATCCATAGGCAAATCCCCAAACTGCAAAAAGTACAGTCACCATGAGTACGGGATATATTGATTCGCGATTGCTCCGTAAAGTGATGTTCTTCTTTTGTCCCGTATTGACAAAATCAAAGAACGTTACTTGTTGACGTTGAGTCCGGAATGTGGCGTTTGTGTTCAATGTTCTTAGTTGCGGCAGCTCGGTCATGTCGGGAGTCGTAAGAAAATCCATCATAGCCATCGGCTCGTCACCACCACTCCTACGAGCTCCACCAGGTTTGCTAAACGGGGATGCTGGAGGTGTCAATGGATCTGAGTGCCTTCGGGAATCGAGTATGTCGGGGTGGAGGACATGTTCATCGCTCGTTTGTGTCGTTGTGTCGCGAATCGTGTGGTCAATAACCCAGCTAGGAAGAAATCTCCTGACTAGCGGTTTCAGGGCAGGGACGCAGCCACACATTATGCCTAGGTTGATCTCGACAGCGCTCCACATAAACGACAAAGATGAGAACCACGAGAAGTCACTCATGTTTCTTTGTTCATTGCCCGATTCGGTGGTTTGCCGTTGAGCAGCTTCGAGAGTGTTGCGCTGAGCTTGCTGAAGGTATGCAATACGGATGACATCAACAACTGCTACGAATATGCCGAAACCGAACGTGATAACCAGTATGATTTTCTGTTTTTTAGGCAGCCGCATACTGGTGAGTATAGGCATCGGGAGGAACAGGATGGCCAGGTCAGTGATGATGTTCAGGGGCGCCGAGGAGAGGTAGATTGTGACGATGTTGGTACAGCGTGCTGTAGCAGGAACTGGAGAAGCCCATGCAGCACCAACGGGTCGACATTGCAGAATGTTAAGAATTGTTAGCGCTAGCCCGCCAACGTTGACTACGACAAGGGTTGCGATAGTAGCTCTTCGAAACAATTTCTGAGTTTTGGATAGCGTCAGGTAGAATAAGAGAATCGAGGTCTTGGTCGCCATCAGAGCGGGATTCTGCCGCATCTTAGCATTGGTACTCTCAATGTGAAATGTTGAGTACGTACATAGAGTACAGAAAAGGTATAGGATGACTTTTTCATCGACCCCTGCCACTCTGGTGGTATGTTTTCTTGTTTGCGTCCCAATCCTTTTGTCGTACCATAGCATATGGAAAAAGAGGCGCCAAAAGCAATGACCCATGCGAGGATCATCGTATAGTCATCCCATCCCGGCTTCCTCACCACCAAAAATCTGGACACCAGACGAAGCCCTACGAATACTGAGCATAGTGCTAGGGTTGCTGCCGAAACACCCATGACAACTGGGGCCCGTGTGGGAAAATCTCCATCGAAGTTGGTGGCGGCCATGTCGTGCACTGGGCTATGTCGTATCCAATGATGCCATAGATGGAGCGAAAATGATGAATTGCGGAGCAGCGTCTTATCGCGGTTGCGGGCGTCTCGGAATCTGGCGTTTGGGCCACGGCATTATCTGGCGCCAGCCCTACTGTCAAGGGGAATTTTGACAGTGGGTGTTGGTGTTGAGGACTGGCGAATACGTGGAGGTGCAGAAGAGATGCAGGAGAGACGGTGTACGGGGACAAGCGGGACGATGCGGTGAAAAGACCACCGACCCCAGAAAAAGGCGGAGAATTCAGTCGGGGCGAGCGATGTGGAGTTGACGTTGCTAAATGCGCGACTTGTCCACGAATTGGACAGGGCTTGCGCCAGAGCGAAAATACTCCGATCATCATTGGGAGAAACACGTATGGATCGTGCGGAGAGGTGACGCCACTTCGTCACAGCGCCTGTCCCGACCGAGTCTCAGCGAATACGTCGCTTGCGCACTGGGCGGCCTCTTGGCGGATCACGGGGATCATGGAAATTGAACACCAACAGGCTGACGGACGAACAGGTTGCCCGACGCTTGGTTGGCTCGAGTCACAGACGCAGACGTTTGCTGGCTCCGCTTAGAGTCTAGACAGCGTTGGATGTTGTGGGGTGAATTAGGTTTGGGTCGAAAGATTTTCACTCAGCACCAGCCGTCATGGAGAAGACGGTATGCACGAAACGGGCGGCGTTCTCAAAGCGTCAGGGCCATGGTTTGTTGTAGTACGCGTCCAGCAATCTACCGTGCCCATGGTTCCCCACCTTGCCTCGCCCAGACGCCTCAAGAACTCTATTCCAACCACGGGCTTTTGCTGAGTGCTTAGGGCTGGACGGCAGCGTGCGTGCGGTGACTGCACGTAATGCCTTGGTCCCAGATTGCGGGGAAGAAGTAAGCCTCTCGTGTGGGGTCGGTAAAGTCATGTGCCTTGGGCAGCTGCAGAGCGTCGCTGTCACTAAACTCCAGTCATGGTCGTCTGAGCGGCCCAAAGGAGAGCGCGATTCAATCATCAGCATCGGGTGACTTTGGTGCGTGCCTTGGAAAACACGGCACATAGTGATACCGACATTACCCCTCGCACTCGTATACACCTGTGCGTCGACGCGAGCCGTGAGGCCTTTCCAAAGGCTTATGCGTACATGATTGGCCAGACTCGAGAGAGGATGCTTGCCTGAACGGCGATCAAGGGCTTCGCACCGGCAACTTTGCCTAAGGTTACCGTATCCAGCTAGTCAACGCCCCCCCAAAAAACGCCCTCTGTTGGGGTTCACGGCTGACACACCGTCAGGAAGAATGGACCGGGTCGGTGCTGAATCGGATTCTTCAACGCCCACGGGAACTTAGTGGTAATAAGCGCAAGGCTTAGTCGTGTCGTCAGTGCCGTGTGCGTTCCAGACCGAGACGGGCTGAGCACACTCCAACATGTCAAGTGCAAGGGAAAAAGAACGTAAATCATGACCTAAGCAACTGTAAGAAGAGCCGAGGTGTATAGTGTATGTGTGTAGTAGTCAAGAGAGCGTAAGTACATGTGCAATTGTGAAGCGTGCTATGAGTCGACAAGGTCATCGTAGCGGAGCAAGCAGGAGACCGAAAGCGGGTCGCGGATCATCGTCGGTCCGCGATGCCTTAGCGCCTATTTGTCAAGTTTTCTTTCTCCAATTCCTCGCCGCAACCACCTACCGAAACATCACACCCAGAACTTTCGACACAAGCGCGAGCTTGCTGTACAACTGCGCAGTTTCATGTTCAACTGCTCAGTACAGCGCCGCCAGTCATTACTTCCTGCGTGCATGTTTGTCCTTGATATTTGACATTGGCTCTTTCGAAGACTCGGTGATTCGCTACTCCTCCACGATCACGGGTTCAATTTGTAGCCTAGAAGAAGCCAAACGATCTGCCAAGATCATCCCACTCGTGTTGCAGTGTCAGAGCGAAAGCCAGGACGACTTTGCGTCTTTTGATGGGAGACATTATTGATTTCAACACTTGTATTTATAGAATACTGCCAGAAACGTGGCATCTGCACCAGCATACGCCAAGCACAGAGGCAAAGGTACTATAGTTCCTTCTTCTCTGCAGGTTTCTGATTGGCGCTGAATGCCATGGCTTCTTGCTTCTGGCGCTGCTTCTCTGCAGCCACAGGTGTCGGCTTGTGCATAATGAGTACCCATGCTGCCGCAACTGCCTCGGCAACAAGAGCAATCATACTTGCGCATGCAATACCCCATATGTTTATGCTCACACTGCCTAACGGCGCGCGCGGGAAACTGAGTATCCATTCCACGTAGTACGGAACCCAGCCCGCCGGTATCCAAAACATGGGCGATTTCGCGAACCAGAATTGTAGGACGAAGCGGAGGCCCTGCGTTCCGAGCCAGCGAAGGGTCGAGACGGCAGACGTGAAAGCCGAGTGATGCGAGCGCAAGGAGCCATCTGGAGCAAGCCACGTCAGTAAGCACACGCGAGTTGGACAGACAAAATGCTGCCGAGCCGACTACCACGTACCTAGTTTCTGGTACTCGGCCATGGCCTTGTTGTGCTGTCTGTCAAGTTTTGCCCATTTGGAGAAGTTGTCCTGAGGCGACGTGTTCCCCAACTCGCGCTTCAGCTGAACAATCTCCTTCTTCAGAATTTGGCATCGCTTTGCAGAGCCCGAACTGGGCGTCGGTAGCTTATTGTAAAGTATCCATAGCTGGAGCCTTGTTAGCACCGGCCCCTCCCGTGTTTGCAATCCAAGGCGGGGCTTACCAGCTCGTTGACGGTGTTTTTGCCAACAGTGTTGATGACATGGAGCAGCAGTTGAAGAATAAAGACTACCAGAAGAAGCGACGGCATGGTTGAGGGCGGTGGACAAGAATCGCTATGCGGGGTGCTCTCATCGCATGGTGTTGTGTCCAGATGAGCGAAAAGCCGTTATGTCATACGGTGGAATTTAGTAGTGACAGGCTAGAGCAGTGGACCGTGCGTAGCCATGCTTCTGCCTCCTGCACTTGCCTGTCACCTCGTCCTACTTCCTTAACTCCACAGCTCAATTTCAGCTTCAGTCAACACCAACATTGACCAGACGACTCAATGTGTTCAAGCTCTGCACGATGGATTCAGACGTTTCCAAGAAATCTCAATTACAAAAACTGGCTTATATATCATTGACCGAATACTTCCAAGAGCATGACAATGAAGTCGTCGAAATCACAATTCTCCCACCGTCCGTACAGCCACCAGACGGTGTCTTGATACAAGAAGGCTCATCACTTGGCATATCAAAGAAGGCCCTTACCTTGGCTTACATGGAAGCACGCAGACTATTCTTCGAGAACAGGCAGAGTAATGATCCTTCCACAATAAATCAGACAACACAGGCGACAAAGATTATTCTTCTCTTTGATCCGGAACATCTCACTGCTGCAAATTACCGTAAGCGTGTGCTTGCCCAGCTGGAATCTGAACATAAACTCCACGCTGGGAACATATTTCCCAAGGCTCTACAACGAGAGCTTTATTTTCTGGACAGCGTTCTCACGTCTCCGCTGCATCGTCAGTCAAAGTCACCGACCCTTTGGTATCATCGCTCCCGCATTGTAGACTCCCTCATACTTGTCCATCTGACAGACACATCGGATGATCAGAGGATGGTCTTTTGGAACAACGAGCTCGAGGCTGTATGCAAATCTGGGGAACAACATCCTAAAAATTACCATGCTTGGCAGTATGCTCGTAGACTGGTACAAAAAGCCCATAGTCTCGGGCAGGATGACCAATTTGCTCAACTTGTCAAAAAATGGTGTTGCAGACACCCAAGCGACATATCTGGTTGGTCTTTCCTTTTGTATTTGATGCCTCGATTAGCACCATCACTGAGGCAAGAGCTGGTGAGCAATGTGCTGGATTACGCCATCAAGTTCAGCATCGAGAATGAGTCACTGTGGGTTTTTATTCGCACAGCTCTCGCACAAAACATGTCCAGCGCGGACCACTCGGTAGCCTATCGGCGTCTTCAAGATTATGTTCAAAACTTGACAAACAAGGAAAGACCACAAGATGAAGCCCACGCCGCTTCTAATGCTCTCAAATGGATTGATACTTATGGAAGACATATTGGATCACAGAGAGTTGTTGATTATTAATATTGTTTGATTGCTATATTGAAGCTATGATTACTGCCATTACACCCTTCGCGTTCACCCAGATCTGGCTCTTCTCGCGTTTCTTGAGATGGCTTCGTGTTATGGTAGTGCTTTTGAAACCATCAGTGACGTGTCTCCACAAGCAATCCAATGGGTGTTTCACATCCCATATCATTGGACCATGTGTTGCCATTTCGTCCACTGTATCTTTTTGGGCTTCTGACATAGATTTGCTTCGACATTCGTGCTCATCGGCTCGTAATTGAAGATTCGACGGAGAGCTACAAGCCTCTGAGTATCTAAACGATTTTGCAGAACAAATATCCGATTCTGAGAACCTCCGACGATTGACTGTTCGAACATCTTCTGCTGACACCCACATGGGCTCCGAGACTGATCTTTGCAGCGCAGGCATTATATCTGCCACAGACCTCAAATTTGTGCTCTCCAGAGTTTGTGAGGAAAGTGTTTGATGCTGCGCACCCGGTTCGTACGTAGTGAGGATGGCGGATTTGGCCAACAATCGTGTTGTCGACTCACGATCGAAGTAAAACTGTTTGACATCTGGAGTCTCTGGATTTGTGTACTCTTTTAAGAGCGACCAGTCGATTTTGTAAACGTTCCGGATGTTTACATGTGAATCCAATTGTAGTCGAGCGCCGTTGGCTAATTGCAGAGTTGAAGATCGTTTTATCGTCTTTATTAAACTCGCATGTGAGTGATCTGGTGATTGTACTATCGGTAGGTATGAGGTGTGCAGGCTGATATGGAACTCGTTTGATTTATTGTACAGGTCGCCAAGCGTTCTTCGTTGCCGTGAGGATATCTTCGGCCTGTTAGCAGCGTCTACGAATTGCAATGAACATGTTACTCACAACTTGAAAATGAGCTATGTGGCTATCCTCTGCAGGCCTCGAAACTACAACAACTGGATGCCCATAGATGCCCTCGACAACGCCTGTGCTATGTGCTCTCTTCACCGCCTGCCTGGGTAAGTCCTCCTCTACTGGTAACCAGAATATTTTGCCTTGGACTACATCAACGTCCTTTACTGTTACTTGGTTGTTCGGCATTGTCCAGGATACGGATTTTTGTAATGTTGTCATGGTATAAGGATTTGTAATGATGCGACTGTCCCATCTTATAAGTACAGGCGTCAGTTGGACTTGCGCATGCAGTCATGGCGATATGAGCCACGCTGCAATCAAGAGCATTACGCGTGCCTGAGCCTCATTGGTCCGTCTAGGTAGAGCACTCATTCCGCACAATCCATGGGAATGGCTTTGCTTATTTGATTAGCAGAAACGCTCGGCTGAGCTTGATTTGACAGTTGTGCGGTAATACCGCCGGCGTACGGCGAAACAGGCGCATGGATGATCGCGTCACCCGCTCAGCCAACGACAATAATAGGAGCTTACAAAAGTGGCAGGGCTGAGGGTGGCTGAGCGCGGCAGCATGCCATGTGATTGGCCGAGACGGATGGTTAACTGCTTAAGAACATCACTCGGCGAGATAACATCGATCACATATACGCGCGGCCTTTCTTCAGAAAGTGGCTTTTGTCGAGTCTCTGACCAACACATATTGCGGCTTGTAATTTCGCAAGGCACCAAGCCATAATAGCCGCAATTTGCCTTACCCTACTTCGGTCAGAGTGATGTAATTAGGGGCAGTGAATGAGCACTAAGCCTTTATGAGGCATGCAATAGTCAAATGGCTCATAGGAATTGCACAGACTTGGTGTGAGCTCCCCGCGTTTACAGCTCATGCATTTACGCTACAGCATCCGGGGTAAGCAACGGCTGCTACCGTCTAACCGCATACCCTGGCAGCATCTCTTCTCGAAACCCCAAGCCACGGCAGTTAGGAACGTTTCCAAAATAAAATGGGTCCACTGCCGAACCATGTTTATGAGGGCCTTTTGGCGAGAGGGGCAATCCGAATTCTGATATTGTACCCCACAATCGACTTCTAGGTACTGCTTGAAGCCCACTTCGAGTATCATAGCGAGGAACTATCCCATGATACCGCAATATTTTCCTAGGGCTTCGATGCTGTATCATACTGCTGGGGCAACCCGTAGTTTACTTACACTATCTACTTCAAGAACTCCGCGCATGGACACATATCTTGAAAGCTCATGTCTGACTCGGCGCCAGGGGGATATTCGACACACGGGCAGCTTTTGTCTCTGTAGAACGTAGCGATGCGAGAGATAGATTGTTCGCTCTGTAGATTATATTGAGCCACAACTACAAGTGGCTCAGAAACAGCGGTATGGAGACATGATCGGGGATACTTGTCGTTGCTCCTTCCAGATACTTCCGAAAGTGGATTACACCAAAAGCTAGGTAGATAAATACAAGCACCTGGCACAAGACATGATGCAACCGCAGCCGAGCCAGTTCTGGTAACATCTCCAGATTTTCAGATCTATTTGCGAAGATAGAGCTGATGGCCCTGTCGCGGGTGCACAGACTGGAGACAAAGCAAACATGTTCATTCAGCCGCGTGTCTTGTATCCAGAAATCAACTTTGGAATACTTGTAGATTCATGAAATGACGTTGCCTTTGACACTCTCTAGTTGAATATGTGGGTCTGTCATCAAAGTTTGGGATGTATTCACCGTAGAGCCAGTCACATCCCGCCGGTATTGTTGTCCCTGACATTTGGGTGCGACCTCACCCTGGGAACGCAGAACTAGTATCGCAAATTCAAGAGCGACTGAGACAGGATCTAGCATTCCTTTTCTTGCTGGCAGTCAATACAGAGACCTTAGTCGGAGCCTGCTGGTGTGAAAGAGAGTTAACTTATTATCATCCTATATGAATATCAGCTCTACGGTTCTGCACAATGAAGGACGCCAAATGTCGGAACTGCCAATCTGTCTCGTCACTTAAGGATACAACTTGCGACAGGTTATCTTGATAGGACCAAAGTGATATTGATTGTGCATATAGGATTTGTGGTTATTGAAAGTTAAAACACCCCCTCATTGGTCTAGGCACGCAGGGTATTTCGCTACAAAGGGATGGGCCTTATAAGAACACTGAACAAACGCTACTCTATGAAGGGGGTACACACCTAGTGGATGCAATGGAACGTGTACCACCGATTGTGTACCTGATAGTCAGAAATGGTACAGTAAGGTCAGATATCATACAATCCCCATGCCTCCATGGCTCAGACGGTGCGTTTCATGAGCAATGTCTTTTCCGTGTCCGGTGTAAGCATCTTCTCATGCCTAATTTGGTCGTATCTGTTCGTACGCCCATCAGGCATCTTGAAATCATACTCCAAGAGCACCCTTGACAGAATAATCTTGATTTCACTCGCTGCGAAGAACCGCCCGGGGCATGCATGCTTGCCATATCCGAATGCTAGATCCCTCTCATTCGAAGAAACGAATTGGGAACGAGCATGCTCGGCCGTATCACCCTTTTGACGTAGCTTGTAATATCTGAAGCCATCAAATTTATCCGCATCTGAGTAAGTATCTTGGTCGAAATGGATCGCGTCGACGGGGCATTCGATAATCACGCCGGCGGGAATATACTGGCCGTTAGATAGAGTGATTGGCTTGCGGACGTAACGACCAACGCCGGCTATATTCCTGTTAGTATGATACGACATGCGATCTGGAGAAACTTACTGATATTGGCCGGAAACATGCGCATGACTTCCTTCATAACGGAATCGAGTTTGACCAAATCCTGCAGAGCGCGACTATCCAATTTCCCACCATGAGCAGCTTTCACAGTACGGATTTCCTCGCGTAGTGGTTCGAGATACTCCGGTGCTGCTGCGAGAGAGTACAAAATGTTGGTAGACACCATAGAGGTTGTATGAACAGCGGCGAAAGCTGCAGTAAGCTGCCGACTTATGTGCCCTTCGACATCATTGCCACACCCATGAGACTTGCTACGCTCCATCATCCACTGCAACAGATCATTGCACTTTTTTTCTCCACTTAGCCTCTCAAGAACGATAGGCCTGAGGAATTCCTTCGATCGCCGAAGTCTTTCTTCAAATCGCTGCTTTGCTGGGAGGCTCGGTCCTTTGAAACGGCGAAGCCAGGGATTGCAATTTTTGATTGCAAGAACTGCGCCCATGAAGTCATTTGTGAAGTTGACCGCAAGGTCAAGATAGGTAGGATCTCGACAATACTCTGCTCCCACAAACATGCGTCCAGACACCTGAGCCACGATTTCGAGTAGTTTGTTATAGATGTTCACATTCGTCCAGTCTTTACATGGTGGTATCGCTCGGTCCAAGGCAAGATCAATTTCCTCAGTAATATCGCCGTTAAGGCGTCCTTGATCAAGTGAGTAATGTTATCTATCAAGAAGTGTACTTCCCATACTCACCTAATGCGGGTGTAAGATCAGCTTTTGCGCTGTGAGTGAGGATATCATCAAACGCTTCGTGAGGTAAATATTTGCTTTCCAGAGCCTACATCAGTTCAGCATATTGTGGTTATGGCCAATAGACTGGTATCACAAACCTTGGAGACAGCTTCGCGGACGTCAAGGACGTCGTCGGGAAGTTTCTTCAGCTCAGGTAGAAACTTGGCGGGTACAATTACGAATTTGATTTCATCGCTTGCTGCCATGCGATAGATGGAGTCTGTGAACTATTCTCTGTTCAGTCGGCAGCTACGACGCATCGTACGAGGGTCACTCACCTTCTTGTTGCCTTCACGATATAGCTCGATGGCGTACTTGAGGTAAAAGCTGCGTTGCTTCTCCCCATTTTTGGCTGTGCCAAATTCCGGTATTTTAGATAAATTGAACAGAAGATTGAGCTTGGGGAACAGTGCAATAGCCGCAACGACTAGTGAAGCAAATGCAATCGTCTGCGCAGTGTGCGTCGACGCGCCAGCGAGCGGGATGTCCATGCTGGCAATGCCAAATGAAGAATTCTAGAGAGTATCCAGCAGGCTCGCAATGGTATGTATAGTTTTTTCCAATTTCTCTATTTGTTCGGTCTGTCGGAATACGGATTTGTCGACGTCCGCAAATGCACACTAGCATCACCTTCCGAAAATGTTGATGACACAGCTTTGTGCCACGTTAGACTATACGCGCAGTTGGCAACCACGACTCACTTCTGTTTCAGATGTTTTTTGTGCTCTATACTTTGTCAATCTACTGCAAAAGGTCCGTTCGTCATTGAAAACGGATCACCCCGTTTCCGGGCTCCGATACTCGACAGTATAGTGAAATAGTGAAAGAGCGATCTACACGGGCTCGGCATCTCCCGAGACCGATAGCCAATAATGGTAAGGCAAAGGGTATTAAATATCCCTATAAGATTCATTCGGTACCTCTATAAGCAGGCCCCCCCTACTTATCGTAGGCTGTAATGAAATTTCGGCTATCTCACGTGAATAAAGCGAAAAAAAAACAGAAAGAAAGAGAGGAAATGTATCTCTCTACCTCTCCTCTTTCTATCGTTTTTCTCTCTCTTCCTTTTCCTCTTCTCCTATTTACGTAACTCTTATCTCTTAAAATAAGAGTGAGAAGAGAAGAGAAAGTAAGATAGAGAGTAGTTTAAGAAAGACAGAAGAAGACTTAAATTACATTACTAGATAGAATATTACAGATAGTGTTGTACTAATGCCGACCCCTGCCTTATAGGAGTTTCCGAATGATTCGTATGAGGGCAGAGGGTGCTCGGTAATCTTTGCCGCCGGGAGCGGGAGCGGGAGCGGGGACGGCGGCGTCATAAGAACCATAAAGTACTCAGGTGTAGCGGTCGCCGCTTCCGAGCAACTTGTACCATTACAGAGTATGACGCGCGTTAGTTAGCATGCTTGTCCTAGGGGAGCCTAAAATGTCCAAGCTACATAATCCTGAGCAATTACGTCGATACAGGACATTCTCAGTGTAGCTCCAAGACGTTGCAACATACACCAACGCGTTATGACATTAATCTCGTGGCTAAGAGAGTACTACTTATAAGCCAAGTACTTCCTGTGATCACTGTGCAGGAGTGATACGTTGTCATCCCATCTCAGGATCTCCACGGATATTTTCCTATATTCCCTGCTTGGGGTACAGGTGCAGAATGCGGCGATTGCTGTGATTGCGGCGTTTGTGAGCGATGTGGGCGTTTATTCAGCGGATGGAGGAATTGAACAAGGAGGTGCTGGTTACTCACGGAAAGACGGATCTTATGATGCCGATGCCGAATAGCTGGCGTATGCAGCAGAAGATGAAGAAGGCGGAGTCGTGTATTTTTTAAAAATCCAAGACATAGGCATTTGTGTCAGTTTCCGGAGAAATATGCGAGGGTCTTGGATTTGTTTTTGGGATAGATTTTGGGCAGGAGAGCACGTGGGCAATCGGGTTGTTACAAAAACGCATCATCTATAGCACCGCTCCCTCTTCCGTTCCTCAAACCCCCTCACACTCTCTCTCACCCCAAATCCCTCCCTTAACAACCCTCCTACATCCTCAAGCCCCAACCCCGCCGTCTCAGGATAAATCATCCAGACCGTCCACCACGCAGCCCCGCATACAACCGCATACACCGCAAATGTGACCGCAGGACTAAAAAAATGCACCATAGGCAAAAACGTAATACCAACTAGGGTGTTCGAGCCCCAATTGGTCGCAGTCGAAATGCCCGATCCCAACGAACGTACGGATAAAGGAAAAAGTTCGGATTGCTGCCATGGCACATTTCCCATTCCAATTGCGTAACCGGCCACATACGTAATCATGGATACAAGGATGATCAGAGGCCACGTCTTCGTTGCTGCATCGTCGATCAAAACTTTATCTTCTGCAGCAGCAGGCAGATCGACGTAAACGAATGCTATAGCGCAGATGATGAGGCCTAGGATCATGATTGCGACGGAGTAGAGGAGGATACGGCGACGGCCGATGCGGTCGATGAAGTGGAAGGCGACGAGGGTGAAGAGGAAGTTTGTGAGGGCGATGGAGAGCGAGGTTAGGGTTGGGGAGGAGAAGCCTACCATGCGGAAAATCGTGGCGGAGAAGTACATAAGGGAGTTCTTGGATGTAGTTAGTATAGTGGAGAAGCTTGGGGATATGGGGGATTACTTACGAAACCGCATAGTTGTTGGAAGCCTTGGAGCATGCAAGCAATGATCAATGCTCTTCTGTTTCCTCCAATGACAATCAGCTGAGACAAGTTGTCTTGCGCTCTTTCTACTTTTGCTCTCCAGCCAGACTTCGCAGACTCAGGCATACCCCGCAGACCAGCCGCATCTTCCTCTTCTTCAATCTCCCTCTCCACACGCCTCAGCACAGCACCCACCAACTTAGCTCCACCCTCCTCACTCTTATACACCCTCCCCAGCACCGCCCTCGCCTGCTGCGCCCTCCCAGCCTTGACCAAATACCTCGGCGTCTCTGGCAAAAAGAACAACATAACAAACTGCACAGCCGCCGGCAACGCTCCGAGCCCAACCATCCACCTCCACCCATGCACCCGCTGCGAAAAAAGCCATCCAACAACATACGCCACGACCTGCCCACCCGTCACAAACAAACTACTCACAACCACCAACCGGCCCCGAAATGGACTCGGACTCAGCTCCGAAATATACAGCGGTACAACAAACGACGCGCTCCCCACCGCAGCCCCGACAACCGACCTACCGACAATCATCCCGCTCACACTACTCGTCCAAGCCTGACATAGCGCACCAAGGACAAACAGCACGTCTGCCACGAAAATCACCGTCCGGCGCCCGTACGAATCCGCCAGCACGCCCGTAAGCGGCGAGGCCAGCAGCGCGAAGAACGACGTACACGATGTGATGAGGCTTTTATCGAGGGTGGTGAGCGTGCGGGAGGACAGATCGGTGCCGATGGAGACGAGGGTCGAGGATATGACGCCGGTACTACACAGATGTTAGACTTGGTCTTTGGGAGTTTAATAGAAGAAAAAAAAGGTATAGAGAGGTTTATAAGGACGTACTCGTAGCCAAATAGCAGACCGCTGACGCCGGCACAAATGGTTAGGATCCAGATGAAGAGGCCGGGGGAAACCAGGGCAGACTCGTCGACTTCGTCGTCGTCGCCATCGTCGTCGTGTGGCTCGGTGTCGTCATCGTTGTCGCGGGTGTATGGGTTGCGCGTGTTGGGAGGGAACTCGTGGCGGGTACTGGGGATTAAAGGTTCAGCAGCGGTGTCGGTCATGCTGCTCAGTTCAAAGTCTTCATGAGGAACCGGCATGCAGTACGGGGCGATACGAAGTAGTCAATATAAGGAACGGTAAGTCTGGCGAGCAGATGCCGTCCGTCTGGGGTAGTGTCGGAACAACGGCGGAAGTGTGTGGACCCTGGATCCACGCTAGAGGGTGTGGGTCCGTGTACCTGCTGATTGATCCTTGTCACCTGCATATCAGCATTTAGATCAGATGGACTTCCTTGAAAGGAAAGTTGATGGATTAACACGGAAGCTAGTTGCATTGATGTGCTGATTGGATACCATGTCTCGGAGAAAACATGCTCTGCTAGCTATCATCGCCATCACACCTCTCCTTACCCCCTACACTTCGCTGTCCGATCATCTCCCTCCCTCGTAGTTGGAAAAGCCAAAGCACCCCTCTCGACTCTCCCATAGTGCTTTGCGGTCGCGTTCAAGATAGCGAACTGTGGCAGTTTCCCACCCCCGCACATCCATAGCCAGCAAAGCCATTGCCCACACCGTAATCCTTTTGTGCACCCTCCATGCCCTGTCAACGCCGGTCGCTATGCGTCAAGCCACTCATTAGAGAGAATATCGACCCACCCACGCTAATCGCATAGCAAAATTAAGTAAAACAAGTGTGGGAAGCATCTCGTGGAGCTCAAGCGGCAACTTTCGGGAAATGTCGCTAGAGTCAAGATGCGAAGCTCTTCATCTTGGAGACTTTCATTTGGCTTCGTTGACAGCTTCCGGACCATGGTTAGCGGGGCCCGCCAGTGGAACCTGGGGCCCTGTCGAATGCTGCTGCATCATAGGTTGGGAGTAGCTTGCACTTGGTGTACCACGATGTTGTTGGGGGAACTGAGGATGTTGCTGGGGCGAGCCGTAATGTCCACCCTGGTATGGCTGTTGATAAGGTCCGCGCATCGGAGCCACTGCCGGCATGTCAGTTTTTACAACGTAACTTTTCCATCAGTTAACTTACTAGAACCTGGCTGCATTTGGTACATTTGAGGTGCTGGTGCTCCAGGCTGCATGTACATCATGTGAGGCTGCTGATGGTGGCCTTGTTGTGAACCTTGGTGGCTCATCATCGGAGCACCTGGTCTCGGACTTGGGAACCCATTGGCGCCAGGCCCAGGCATGTGGCCGGGATATTGTGGGTATGCAGGACCAGGAGCCGGAGAGTACATTTGCATTTGAGGGTTACCTGGCATTCCCATATAAGGCCCATTTGAAGGCTGGTTCGTCATCATTTGCCCTCCCATTGCTGGGCCAGGGGGTTGGATGAACTGTCCGCCTTGCGCGTTACGCATAGGCACATGCTGAACATTAGGGCTCATGCCGTATTGAGGAACCTGGACAGGCTGAGGATAGCCTGGCATTTGCTGGGGCTGTGCTCCATACATGAAAGGTGCCATGGGCCGCGGTGAAGGCTGGACTGATGACTGCGAGTGCGAGTATTGCATGTGGGGCGCCTCGAACTGGTGTGGGTTCTGGCCAATATGCGGCTGCACTGGCGGGCCTCGGGGAGTGTGCTGGGGCGTTGGGCCTTGTGGCATGCCCTGTGCACCCTGGAGATGAGGAGGGATTTGATGCGGCATAGGTCCGCTAGTCATTACGTGTTGAGGAGCTGATAACGGCGCTGCTGGAGGAGCATGCTCGAACAACTGCTCAAAGCCCTTGTTTGAATTGGATGCAGGGAAGTCCCACGTGGGGAAAGTCTTGTAAGGAGGCGCGATATCAGAGTGCGGCTTCTCACTACCTTGTACCTCCTTTTCCAGACGTCCGACAGCGTTGAAGGTTGTTGGGCCGTCCAGAGACTTGACATTTGGCCTTTGGCCAATGAAGAAGTTGGTGACAGGCGGCTTGCGAACTTCTTGCCGTGATGAGTTTGGTCGAGGGCTGGAGCTGGCGCTTGGGTTTCCACCAGGCTGGAAAGTGTTCGCTGCTGGGTTTGGCTTAAACTCATGTGCACGAACATTAAACCTTGATACGCTGGAAGGTGTTTGGGCACCGCTAGAAGGCTGTGAAGAACCAGTAGGGGGTATCCGAGTGTCTTGGGGTGGAATTGGCTGAGGAACGCCATTGTAGGGCACTGCACCCTGTTGTTTGTGTTGCTGATGGTTCATCTGTAGACGAGCGCTGAGTAGTCCCGGATTCCGAGGAGGGATGTTCATGTTTTGGTGTGAACCCCGCATGCTAGCTGATGCGTAGGGCTGCTGTCCTTGTCGGGGACGCTGGGCTTGTTGACGGTCAACATTCGTGCTTGGGGAAGCCTGAGTAGGCTCAGGCTTAGCAGATGGCCGTGGGACAGGTTTGGGGTCGGAAGTGCTGGTCGAGGGCTTCGCAGGCGGCGAGGCCTTCAACTCAAGCGCTTGTCGGTTGGCCTTGTCGACAATGGCTTGCTGTTTAGTCTCATCCTTGGCAAGTATGGGAACCAAATCCGATGGCACTGGTGTGCTCAGCTTGAAGTTGAGCGCAAACTTCTTCAAGTCATTCAGCTTGACTGCCTTGTTTTCGCGAGCGAAAGCCCTCTGACGATCAGAGATGCGCAGTTTTTCAGCGGCTGAGAATTGCTTGAAAGAATCCAGCAGATCATGTTCCACATTGGTTGTTGCGTCGTGTGGTCGTCCGGCCTTGCGAGGGGGAATGGCAGCCACTGTAGACTTTATGGTACTGCTGGGCTTCTGTAGTTGCTCCGTGATGGCCTTGTGCACATCTGCTGGCTTTGATGTGGGCTTGGGTGTCTCCTTGGGGGCCTCCTTGGTGGGTTCCTTTGTGCTTTCTTTGGATGCTTCTTTGGCGGCTTCCTGGGTCTTGGGGGCTTCCGTTGCAGGGGCTGCTGGCGCAGCGGGACTGGCGGCACGCTGTGCGATCTGCGAACCAGGTCGTGCGACAGACGAGGAAATAATGGCAGGATCGACCGGAGCGCCGGGCACTGTTGGCTGAGCGGAAGGTGCACGGCGCGCAGGCGGGGTATACCGGTTGGGTTGGCCCGTTGACAGAGCCGGAAAGTCTCGACGCACGCCGCTGTACTTGTCTTCCTCGTCACCATTGTCGTCGGCAGCAGAATATCCTCCTCGCTCCTCGCGTACGTGCGCGTTAGTTGCAGTACTGCCTTCAATCTCCCGAGCAATCTTCTCAGCACGGGCAGCCCTCTCTGCATACTGTGGGTCATTCTTGTTGATGGTGGTGGTGTAGAAAGTCTCGTCGTAGTTGCTCTTGACACCAAACAGGCGCTCGTTGGTGGAGAATTGATCCCATTCAGTCGTCCGTCCCGATGACTCAAGAGTCAGGCTTGGGTCGACCTCGGACGGCTCCCATTTCTGAAGGTCACGCTCGCGGAAGGCCATCTTGCCTGAAATGTCGGTGTCTGTGCGGAAGCCCGATGTTCCTGCGACAGTCAGCTTGGTGCGAGAGAAGACGGTCACCAAGACACATACCGTTCTGGCCCTTGGCACTAGACTTGTCAAGCACCACGTTATTGACATTGAAATCGGCAACGTCGCTCATGTCAAAGGACATGACGTGGTAGTCACCCGCACCGACGTAGTCGTCAGAAACGTCGCCTGTGCCATTGGTCTGGGCATTGCTAGCGGGCATCAACTTCTTGACCATCTTGAAGACATAGCGCAGCTCGCTGGGGTCCAATGAAGTGCCGGACAGCACGCCCGAGTACTTTTCGCCATTCTTGAGCGTAATGATGCCCGGAAGACCCTAGCCATGACCGTCAGCTGTGTTTGTCGGCTTCGAATTGAGCAGCATGCGCCACTTACAGTGAGGTTGGCCAACAGGTACATCATCCGATCGCTGAGGTGCCGCATTGGAGACGCAGTTTCACCCGACGAGGGTGTCGGGGTGGGCTTGGGAGAGTTTACGAGGCCGTTGGATGGAGAAGGGTTCGTCGGTCGGTGGGTGAGGGGATTGGTACCCTGGGTCCATGCCGTTTTGGCCGGCTGCTTCCTACAAGGTGCCAAGTCAGCATTGGGCCAGGCGCAGGCAAGGGCAAATGTATCGAGAACAGGGCAGGGCGAGGTGAGGCAATTGGACAGAGGACAGGGCGCGAGGGCCGTCTAGTGGACAGCGCAGTCGCACCGTGGCTCCATGTGACCGCCGACAAGTCACACGAGGATATCCCGGCGTGCGGTAGCGGTGTCGGGCGGCGGACGGGAGCGTGGGCAGACATGCAGCTGAAGGGCAGCGTACGATGGGAGCGAGAGGGCGGGCGGGGCTGTTGGAGAGGGACTAGTTACCTCTGGCTACCTTCGCTGGGGCTTCCTGGCTTTCGCTGTGCGTCGGTAGCGGCTTTGCCAGCTGTGCTCATTTTCAGTTGCCTGCCGGGAGTGGAGACGGCGTTCAGAGCATTGGAGGAGGTGCTGGTCGTGGCAGCGGCAGTGGACATGGATGGGTGAGGAGAGCGCGGGCGTTGGCGGTGGTGCGGTAGCGTGCGTCGGTGTCGGTGGTTGTGGGTGGGAGAATGGAGCGACGGGCGGGGGGTGTGGGAGGGAGGGACAGGGCAAGCAGCTCCAACTCTCTACTTGGGTGTGGGCTGTCGGAGCTGTCGAGGTTAGCGCAGGGCACTCAATGCAATGCGGCAGCAGGCACAGAGGCAGGACGAGCAATGCGAAGGAGGTCCGGCGGCGGAGGTCGCGATGGTATAGGAGGCTGTGCCCGAATGCAGAGACAGATGTCCACGGTGAGGCGCCAAGGCTGATCGACTTATGAAACAGATGCGGCAGCTAACCACGCCTGGGGCAGCCGTAGCCGTGAATGTAAATGCTGCCACCGCCAACGTTGCTACCACACAACCACACACACAGCCAAACGGCGTGCCCGTAAGCTTTGTTGCCTCGCTTCCTGGCCCTGTCCCCGGCTTGTTTTGGCGAGGCTACTGTGGCCATTGACAAACTCTGTCGGGTGCTTGCAGCCCTGCGCGCCGGCAAGAGCATACTGTGGTTGTGGTGGTGGCCGTCGTGGCCGTGGTCCAGAACCCACCGCCTCCAAAG